GGGGGTCGCTCTGTCCCCGCGGCGGGGGGGGTCCCTTTGTCGCCGTGGCCGGTTTGGGGGGGTCCTGGAAGGGGCGGGGGGGCAGGCCGAGCCGGTCCCCCCTGCTCGGCGAGGGAAGGGCTTCCGGGAGGGCCGGGCCGGGCCGTGCTGGCGTCACCGGCCCCGCGGGGCACCCCCGGTGTCCCCCCCGCCAAGGGGGGCGCGGGGAGAGCCTCGAGTTTGGGGTGGGGGGGTGGGTCACCCCCGGTCCCCCCCCCGTTTTCCTCCCAGCCTTCACCAGGGCTGATCTTCCTGTGTGTGCTGAGCCCCCCTGCCCCCCAAATTTGGGCTGTGTGTTCTCTCTGCCCCCCAAATTTGGGCTGTGTGCCCCGGAAATTTGGGCTGTTTGCCCCAAATTTGGGCTGTGTTTTCTCTGTACCCCCCCAAATTTGAGCTGTGTGCCCCTGAAATTTGGGCTCTGTGCCCCATATTTGCCCCCCAAATTTGGGCTGTGTGTTCTCTCTGCCCCCCAAATTTGGGCTGTGTGTTCTCTCTGCCCCCCAAATTTGGGCTGTGTGTTCTCTCTGCCCCCCAAATTTGGGCTGTGTGTTCTCTCTGCCCCCCAAATTTGGGCTGTGTGTTCTCTCTGCCCCCCAAATTTGGGCTGTGTGTTCTCTCTGCCCCCCAAATTTGGGCTGTGTGTTCTCTCTGCCCCCCAAATTTGGGCTGTGTGTTCTCTCTGCCCCCCAAATTTGGGCTGTGTGTTCTCTCTGCCCCCCAAATTTGGGCTGTGTGTTCTCTCTGCCCCCCAAATTTGGGCTGTGTGTTCTCTCTGCCCCCCAAATTTGGGCTGTGTGTTCTCTCTGCCCCCCAAATTTGGGCTGTGTGTTCTCTCTGCCCCCCAAATTTGGGCTGTGTGTTCTCTCTGCCCCCCAAATTTGGGCTGTGTGTTCTCTGTGCCCCCCAGATTTCTCTTTGCCTGTGCAGGACTGGGGGAGCTGTGGCTGCTGACCCCCCAAACTTTGCCTGTGTGTTCTCTGTGCCCCCCAAATTTAGAGCTCTGACAGCATAAATCTTCAAGTTAAAGCTGCATAAGAGGAAGATGGGGGGGGGGGGGGGGGGGGGGGCGCCATGGCTGCTGACCCCCTCTGCCCCCCAAATTTGAGCTGTGTGTTCTCTTTGCCCCCCAAATTTGGGCTGTGTTTTCCACTTGCCCATGCAGGACTGGGGTGGCCATGGGTGCTGCTCCCCCAAATTTGAGCTGTGTGCCCCTGAAATTTGGGCTGTGTGTTTTCCGTGCCCC